GGTTCTACAGATGTCACTCATTTATTCACTATTCTGTATATTCTTTTCTGATTTTATTAGCACTGTTATATTTTTGGTCGTTCTTCATCATATCCTCTGGTTGTTATACTTACCAATAATAAATAAATAAATAAATAAATAAATAAATAAAGACATGCAACCATTCTCTTGAAAGAAAGAAAGCCACAGCTGCCATGATTAAAAAAAAGAGTTTAAAATGGGGGGGGGGCAGGGGAGTTCTAAAACAAGATGCAGTGTTCCAGTTAGACCACAAGATGGGGATGATCTAATACGAATTATTCATTTATTCCTTGGCCCAGGAATTTACAGAGCTCCCAGCTTATCAAGGAAAAATGATTAAAGACTGTAAAGGTAATTTCATGATCATAGTCCAAAATAGGTAATATGCCTGTTCCCCTTTCCTTGGACTTCCCTTTTCCCTGGAAATTCCAAAGGATTAATAACATCTGTCCACAGTACCAGTATTAACTGATCAATCCTACTTGTTCTGAGCCTCAGACCAGCCCCTTCCCTTTCTACTGTAGGTTTAAAAGAATGCAGAATTCTCCTCTTTCAGGAGAGGGGGTGGCTGGGGGAAGCAGCAGCAGGGGAGTAAGGGCGAAGGGGGGGGTGTCACAAAGGGCTGCCCCCTTTTGTAACTGCATCATGAGTTTGGATGCTGGCCCCAAAGAGGGAGGTCCCATCAGATGTGGAAGGGTGGCATATTCCAGGACCCCTCCATAAAGCAGCTTGGTGAGACTCAGAAAGTGGGTCTTCTCTGGACTTCCAGGGAGGCATGGTGAACTGAAGATGGCTCTGCTTTGACCATGGCAAAGACCAAAGAACCGGTAAGTAGAGGGGTTCCTTGGAACCTCTCCAGATAAGGAGAGGACGGAAAATTGCCCACGTGGACTCCAGATGGCTGCTCCTCATGAGGAGACCACAGGACATCAGTTTTCCATGGGTTTGGGCGCTGAGAGACGAAGGGGTCAGCCACCTTGCTTGCAACCACCATGGAGCCTTTCGAAGGACACAAGTTTGTAAACCTCACTTTCTAATCACTTTCAGAAATTGCTCATTAACTACTTCTAAGCTATTAGAGACCTTTTCAGGTTTGAAAAGTCGCTGGGTGAGTTTAGCTTCAGCCCTGAACAAAAGAAAAATTAATTACCAGCTGAAGGACTTAAAGAATAAACAGCAAAAAGCTGAATAAGATGTTGATCTTAGAAGTTATAAATGGACTAAGGATCCAGATAAAATTGGAATATCGACAGTAAGATTTTAGAATTAAATATAAAGAACCAACAGGTTCTTGTGGGAAACAGATCCCGCTTTGGTTTTTACAAGACAAAACAAAGATAAGCAATTTTATGATTTCAAAAACTGGACACTAGAGGTGACTAAAGATTTTAGGTAGAGAAAAGATATACAAAGATATATCATTATAAAATGATGTACAACATTATAACAATAAAAATACTGAAGGAGATGTTTGAAGAATGGAATCAGACAATATTAGCCACAATATCAACAATGTCAGTAATGATGTCTGCTTCTATGGATAGACTATGTCCAAAAGATGTTACTGAA